ACTCCACAATAATCTGAGGGCTATGTGATCTATTTTAGGTTCCTGAAAAATGTGAAAGTCTCTTACGAGCATACCTAGCATACAAGTTACTGTAATCTTGGAAGAAGAGAAATTAATGCCTCATTTCTATATAAGTATAGTCTCAGGGGGGCGGAGGTGAACAGGGTGTCACTAGAAAGGAAATGTTGATCGTAATTGTTGAGGTCCCCTACTAGGATTAGCAGGAGTCTGAGAGGACAGGTTGAAGACACTGTCTTGAAGCCTACTTCCTGGTATTCAGCCTGCAAATTCCTCCCCAAGTCCTCGTCATTATCAGGCAATAAAGTGGAGAACCATTTATTTTCTAGTTGAGGATGCAATCTGGTCACTACCAGTTCCCATGGACTTCCCTCAAATTCTGTTACTTGGTCAACAAAGTCCAGTTTCCTGTGTCAGATAGCCATGTCTCTGTCAGCAGCCTATCCTCATCACCAAAAACTGCCAAGAAATGTGAAGGATCTGAAATTTAACCCTATTTGTAAGCTAACAAGCTAGCCAACCACAGTTTCATCATGCTAGTACTGGAAATAAGACTTCTGTGTTTAAGACAAAAGATAATTTATTACTCACAGCTACAAACGTGACCAGTGGACCAGCACTATTTTTTGTGCTGCTCCCCTGAGCCCCAATTCCCATATGCCAATACAAAGAGGTCCAGAAAATACTTGTACTTGCGTTAGACTGCATTATAGGAGAGGAACCCAGAACTTAACAAGGTAACAGTAATGACTTGAAAAGTTTAATGCAACTGAGTAATATAGTTGATAAGCGATGGTTCAAAAATATACTTTGAATGTAAATGGGTAATTTGAAAATTTTTACACAATGCACAGTTCAAATTAGAGAACTTAGGGGACCTGACTCTTTTATAATGGGTAGTGATCATGCCTGCCCTTTGCTCCAGGAGTCATTTTCTCTATCTGCCAATACCATTCACTATACAAACATCACTGAAAATAGTTTGGAACAAAGGGTAGTCAGTATCTTCACTCGTAGGATATTAGGCAACCCACAGAGAATTGTCTCCCAACAGAAACCTGTAGTGTCTTAGTAAAAATGACCAGAAACCATCAACTTATAATTCATACTTTGCATGAGTTACGATTGTATTCAGCTACATATAACAAAATCCCAACTACAGTGTTTAACTAAATGTGTCTTTTAGTTTGTTTCTCCTTGCATGTAACCAGAAGTTTTTCCTCCTTGCATGTAACCAGAGGCAGACAGTCCAGTCCACATTTGTACAGCTACAAATGTGGTCATGAAGGACCCAGGTCCCCTATCCTCCTGCTCCACTATCCTCATCATTTGGCTTCCCACCTCTTGATCACAAAATGCATAGTCCACCTACCTCCATCTGTACAGATTTGGTGCTAGGTGGAGAGGAATGATGATCAGATTTGAAGGAAGGTTAAAAATCTTAAGATAGTAAAGAGGAAGAATTAAGACTGGATCAAAGTGATATTGTGTTTTGAAGGTAATGGACAAAGCATTAATAAATTAACAAGGTAACAGGAATGACTTGAAAGGTTTAACGACACTGAGTAACTTAGTAGGTAAGTTATGGTAATGTAAATGGGTAATCTGAAATTTTGTTATACAAATACACACTTCAAATAGTACTATAATCTTTCATTGTTTGGTGCTGCTATTCAGATTTATGCATTATAGCTTGTAATACTACGTAAAAATAGGCACCAAGCTTAGGAGGAGATCAGAATTCAGCTTGAGGCTGTTTTAGCTTGTGACAACACCCTAGTATGCCACCATACTTCTCTACCTTCTATGTTACCTTATGTAATTGCTACACAGAATTTAACACTACGAAATCTAAATTTCCTTGGAGTAGAAACAAGCTTATATGAATAATTCTTTATAGTAATTAAAAATTAAACTATCTGCTACATTTGTCAACAGGGTTTAATTTTTAGCATAAGTTGAGGCCACTGGTTTCTAAACAACGCTGTTTCTAAACAACCCATTTATGTTTAACAGATCATTTTATCGAACAATCTCAAAGCGCCAAATATCTTCAAGACTGAAAAAACTAAGTTCCTATAAAGAGCAGAAACTAAGGAAAAACAGGTTAAGGAAAAAAGTAATTCTTAACTATGTATTCTATGAATTATCCATGCTCTCAACTTGTTTTCCTTTTACTGCATATTGTCTAAAACTCTTTTACTTAAAAAAGTGTGATAGAGAAGAGCTGGAATATGGTAAATGAAATCTGGAGCATGTTTACGGGTTAATGGGCTTCAATAATTGATGCTACTTTTAGCTCTGTTAACATTACAGATGTTTAGGGACGTAATTCTCATGGCCAGCTCTTATCACTAGATAAAACTCCTTCTCCAATACCAGTTTCTATGGGTAAAATAATTGGCTTCTATTGATTTAAAATCATGAAATAATAAATAATATAACAAGTTTCTCAACCGATCAAAAGATGTATCCAGGCTCTTCTCAGAAGTTCAAAGCTAGGTGCTGTGTGGATGCAAAACAATAACAATTATTATTACAATAATCTTAATAATCCCTTATAGTCATTTATTAATAGTTCTTCATTGTTTAAAAACTATTCCATATTCGTTTTCTTGTTTTTTGGAGACAGAGTCTTACTCTGTTGCCCAGGCTAGAGTGCTGTGGCATCAGCCTAGCTCACAGCAACCTCAAACTCCTGGGCTCAAGCAATCCTCCTGCCTCAACCTCCCAAGTAGCTGAGACTACAGACATGTGCCACCATGCCCAGCTAATTTTTTCTATGTATTTTTAGTTGGCCAATTAATTTGTTTCTATTTTTAGTAGAAACGGGGTCTCCCTCTTGCTCAGGCTGGTCTTGAACTCCTGACCTCAAGCAATCCTCCTGCCTCGGCCTCCCAGAGTGCTACGATTACTGGCGTGAGCCACCCTGCCCGGTCATGTTAGTTTTCTTATTTGAGCTTCTCAATATTCATATGAGAAATTGCTCTTAAAGTAATACTGCTCTATTTTACAGATAAGGCAATTAAGACAAAAAATGTTTAAGTGGCTTGCTAGAAGTCGCAGACACTAGAGAAACAATTATGTGCAAGACAGACTTGGCCCCTCCTCTTATGAAACTCTATTCTAGTGGGACATTCAGACAAGTTGTAGGCAACTGTAACAGGGTAAGTGTTGAGCTAGAGGGGTACAAGGCATATGGCATGGAGAACAGACTTAGGAGGATGGGATCAGGGAAGTCTTCCCAAAGGAAATCAAGTCTCATTTCAGAATTCACTGTGTAAGGCTCTAGGGAAGAAAGAACATTAGTTTCTACTAAATTAACTTACTTTGTTCTCAGATTCTTCCAAGTTGATTTTGGATTGGATAGAGCAAAACTTAGAAATTCAACACCATGTAATTAACTTTGCCAATGTTCCTCCCACTGTGGTTCCTGTACCAACTGCATCAGTCACCCAGGGGCTTGTTAAAAATACAGGTTGGTGGGGGGAGTTGAAGGAGGTAGGCAATAGGGACCACTACCCTGGACTTACTTTTTCTAACTTTCTTGGGGGTGAGGTACAGAAAACCTGCCACGTTAAGCATGAATACCCTTGGGAATTTTGAAGTCAAATAGCATATTAAAAAGGATATTTTGGGTAGTGGTTCCAAATAGTTCCTGATTCAATATGGTCTCCCTCTTTTTTTTTGTTTTGATGAGGGTATAGGAGAGCGTCCATTTGTGAGGAACTGCAAATGATATAATTGGGATGAGTGCTACAGTGCAGGCTGTCAGTCCCCACCTCTGGCTGGCTTAGGTGGTTGACTTGGAGTAGGTGCTTGATAAATGACTTGTTGGACACAGGAACACATGTATTCATAACTTCCAAGACTTTTCAAAGTCCTTTCTGTTAGCTTTCTGCTCCAATTTTCTGGCGTCTGGCCAGGAACAGAAGCAGTATAGTCAGAGGAACAGCAAGGATGTGCGGGAGTTTGGAGAATACTGAGTTCAAACCCCCAGACCAAGAGTCAGCAGTTGACAGGGCCAAGTTTCTTAATCTGCCCCAACCACAAATAAGGAATACAAATAGCAGTCAAATCCCGTTGTTGTTGGAAGCCTTAAAGGAGATTAAGTATTTATTATAAATAGGTATCAATGGAATACATTATAAATGCAATGCTTAGAACCGTGCCTGATAAATGAGTTCCACAAATGCTCATTCAAGCCTGGGCGGCACACTCTCTCCTTACCGTATGTAATAAGTCTCCTTAAAGTCAGTATCTCAGAGCAATCACCAGCAAAAAAAAAAAAGAAAGAATAAATGAATAAACGAGAAAACCAGGCAACAAGCTACTGCAGCCGTGGGGTGCAGCCCGGGAGGCTGCGGGGACCCGGAAGGGGCGCGACAGTGGGCTCTCCCCGCACGGCACGTGGTCGGCTCGGGCGGGAGCTTCGCGACGGTGGGGGAGGGGAGCAGCGTGGGACGTCGCGGAGGGGTCCAGACCGCCAAGGCTACGGTTGAGGAGGCGCCGACTGCGCAGGCTCGGCATAGGCGCAACCACTGTGCGACGGTCCGAGGGGGAGGATGTCAACCCGGCTCCACGCTGCCTTTATCCGTTTGCAGAGCGAAAGCTTGCGGGTTTTCGCATTTTAAGACGGCGTGTGGTGCCGCCCTGCGCAAGCTGTTCATCAATAGAAGGCCTCTCATCCCGAGCCTGAAGCGGCTTCTTTCTCTGGCCGTGTCCCCTTCTTCCCCCGTGGAGGACACAGTGGACGCGCCCCACCTCCCTGCGGCCTCCGGAGGTGGTTTGGCGGCCCCCTCCCCCTCCCCAGTGTCGCGAGTTGGCGCCGCTGCCACCCCCCGCTCCGCGCTCTTGGCCCCTCGGCCGGGCGGTACCGAGCCCTCTCGGCGCCCCTCGGATCCTCCCTCCCACCCGCCCTTCCCCGCGGGATCTGCCACCCGCACCTGCCCCCCAGCCCTGTTCTCTCCCCGCCGAGCCGCGGCGGCAGCAGCAGGAGGAGGAGCCGGAGCCGGAGGCGGCGGTGGCCGGGGAACCCATGGCGTACAGTCAAGGAGGCGGCAAGAAGAAAGTCTGTTACTACTACGATGGTGAGAGGCCGCCGGCCGGCGCCGCGGTGGGCGGGCGGGCGGGCTGGGGCGCCGGGCCCGGGGCCGCGCCGAGCTCCCCAGCCGCCGTCGCGAGTGGGCGCCGGTGCTGAGGGGTGGGAAGGAGGAGGGACCGACGTTTGGCCGCGTCTTAACCCGTTCCCGACCCGACGCGGTCAGCGGAGACCCTCCTCCGCGAGCGACTCCCGCGGACTCTGCGGGCGGGAACCGGGGAGACGCCCCACTTGCCGCCCGCCTGGTCCCCTCCGGCCGTGCGGTCCGCTGCCCCGACCGAAGGTGTCCCGGCCGCTGGGGACGGCCCGGCCTACCCGGCTTCGTGGTAGTGGCGAAGGGGACGGCCCTTCTTCGCGCCTGTCCTGCCCTCCACTCGTGGCAGCGCAGGTATAGGGGTTCCCTGCGCCGGCCTTCGACACCGATCCCTCCCCGCGAGTCAAAATTTCTGCCCTGGCTCTACACAAAGCCCCGCGGCCGCGAGAGCTCCGCCCCGCCAGCCCCCCTCCCCCATTCCCGCTTGCTCCCCTCCCCTCGGTTCTGTCTGACCCGAGGGTCCACTCCTTTCTCCCTCCAGCCTCACCCAGCACCCCTACACCTGGTCGATGCTGGAGAGTGGTTACCGGGGGTGGGGGCCCAGGCGCGGCGTGTGGCGCTGTCACACCCGTGCTTTGCGTGGGCTCCCACCCTCCCCTTTGTTCGCGGGGTTCTTGGAGCGCCGGTTTCTCGGGATTCAAGTGGAAGAAGGCTTCACTTCCTCAATAGCAACAATTAGGGTTTTCGAGTTTGAGGCAGGCAGCCTTCGCAGGAAATTAGAGGAGGTAGTCGTGAAACGTGAAGCTTTACTGCTTGTGTTTTAGACTAGACTCATCGATGGGTCCTAGCTTGCCTGGTTACCACCCACTCTTTGTTGCTCTTTGTTCGATCAGGAAATAGATCCTGCTTTGGAGGTTTAGGAGAGCATTGGCATCTTATTTGTGAAGGCTGTTCCTTGGTTGTGGGAATCCTGGTGTAGGAAAACTTTGAGGAGTAGTGCAGAAGTACTAAATATTCTAATCAGGTAAGCTTGAGTTCGCAGTACAGTGAATTATAAAAGTCAGATTATTTAATTTTAAGGGTTCTGTAATTTGGAGTATGAGCAGTAACATTAAATCTCTAAATCTGTTTACTATGCCATTCTACATTATATTCAGTGGAGTAGTAGCCTGTTTTACAACTTTTGCAAATACTTTAACTTGGTGTATGTAGTTTCTAGTTGGTTGCTCTTGAGAAAAGGAATTCCAAAATTTAACAAAGAAGCTAGTAGGTACAATGACCTGAAAGTCCTATCTGATTTGTACAAAGCAATGCAAATTTTGGAAGCTGTTTCCTACATTTGGTGTGTTGTAAATCACAATATCTTAGAGAGGTAGATGAGACCTTAGAGCACCAGTTCAGAATAAATCTGACTTTAATTGAAAATGGCCATACCATCTCTTCAGTTAGCAAGGATTGATCTTTTGATGCCTGTTTTATGTAAAATAGCCACCTGTGTTGTTTGTGAGAAAATCTGAAATCTTACAGAAATCTAATTTGTCTGAACTATGATAGCTAGGACAAAATAGTAACAGCTCTGTTGTTTTAAAAAATATTTTTTTAGAAGGCCACATAGGTGCGATATATAAATTGATTTGACATTGTGCCATGGTGGAGGGGTGGAGATGGAGTACATTTTAATTTGAACCAGAATTACATTGCATATTTTGTGTTATTCTTGCCCTGCATTCTCTGATCAAATTGGAAAGGCAGTAACCCTGTATATAAATTATTTTTTAAAAATTATATTGTTTCTAAGGTTTAGAGATTTATTCTTGTCAGGTCTCGGGATGAAGGGGAAAAGTTTAACAGGGGAAACTGGTGTTAGGTTCCTTTTGTAGCTGTCAGTTGCTGTTGGCAGTGATGAGCTTTGGTGGAGTAAGCCGCTTATGATTTTTCCGTCTCCTCGAGAACTAGGGGGTACACTTGAGTAGCGGTTTTCTGAACAGCGTCTATTCCTGGGGCCATTTGTGATGAGCCATTTTTGAGGCAGTGGGAGCAGACCCTGGTTCCACGGGCAGAATGGCTTGATAGGTAGAGTGGGAATATTTAAGAGTCTTGTGATTGTGACTTAATCTAATACTTTATTGTAGCCGATTCAACTGCTTTTACCTGATAGCCAGAAACCAGGTGCATAACTTTGATAGTTTGGAAACCTCTGGTGGGTTATCTGGTTTTTGTCTGTGTCTCTTATTTGACTTGTTTTTTTAGAATGGAGTTTTTAGTTGCTTACATTTCAGATATTCTTTGGGTTTGGGGGGGGGAGCTAATAAGATATTTTACAGAGGTTATTAAATTTGATAGGTATTGTGTTAATTATTAATGTGATAGCATGTTACAAAAACCCTGTTCTGTCAGCTTATAAAAGTGGCACTGTGTAATTTTTTTTTTATTGTGAAAAGCAAGAATGGAGGTAAAGTAGCTTCAGCACCAGAGAATTGTGTCTTTAAGGTATACAACAGGGATTAGATTGGAAGTGGGTCATATTAGTAGTAATAGGGCCTGAATCATCTGCTAGTCTAAGTTAGCTGGTTTTAATTTGTTGGTAAAGAAAGTAAAGGGAAGAAAGAGAGGAATGAAGTGAAATAACAAATTCTATAACCATAGGAATCCTACCTTTAAGCTCGCTGGGGCCATTAGGCACATTGTGAGCCTTTTGGTGACACAGAAAATGTCTACTATTGGGGTGGTATGCATCTCAATGGAAGGACTTCTAAAGACAATACATATTCTTCTCTGTATACTTTGTGGTTTTCATTAGATCATTTCATTAGACTGAAATGCTAGTTCCAGAGGAACCCTCAAACATTTGATGAGTGAGGTATCATTAAACCTTTGAAAAAAAGAGAAGTTACTACTTCTCTAACTATAGCTATTGACTCACGCCTCCAAAGTTTCCAAAAACATACAAGGTCTGTATCTGGAAAGTATCCAGCCACTGTTAATATAATAGAATGGTGTACATGGCATGGATGTGAGTGAACTGGAAGGCGCATGCATGTGTGAACAGTGACAGCTTCACTGTTCTAGTCAGTGGGGTGCTAGACACCTTTGAGTGAGCATGTGTACTGTGTGGCCCTTGCATTCTAAATGGCTGAGCTAGTAGAGCAACGAATCTTCATCAGAATTTGCATTAAGCTGGAGCATTCCTCCACAGAAACTATTCGGATGATTCAGAAGGCTTTCTGGGGCAATGTGATGAGTGCAGCACAAATAAAAGTATGGATGGCACAAATGCTTCAAAGATGGTCGAGAATCTGTTGAAAGTGATCCATGTTCTGGAAGGCTGCAACAAGCAGAATACCTGAGAAGGTTGAACGTTTACGGGTTAGGTTAAGAGACACTGGGATAACTGTGTGAGGTCCCAAGGTGCTTACTTTGAAGGGGACTAAGGCATGGTCATTGTCCTATGTACAATGTTTCTTATATCTTCAATAGAATTCCAAAATTTAACAAAGAAGCTAGTAGGTACAATGACCTGAAGTCCTATCTGATTTGTACAAAGCAATGCAAATTTGGAAGCTGTTCTACATTTGGTGTGTTGTAAATCCACAATATCTTAGAGAGGTAGATGAACCTTAGAGCACCAGTTCAGAATAAATCTGACTTTAATTGAAAATGGCCATACCATCTCTTCAGTTAAAGGATTGATCTTTTGATGCCTGTTTTATGTAAAATAGCCACCTAGTGTGTTTGTGAGAAAACTGAAATCTTACAAATCTAGATTTGTCTGACCTATGATAGCTAGGACAAAATAGTAACAGCTCTGTTGTTTTAAAAAATATTTTTTTAGAAGGCCACATAGGTGCGATATATAAATTGATTTGACATTGTGCCATGGTGGAGGGGTGGAGATGGAGTACATTTTAATTTGAACCAGAATTACATTGCATATTTTGTGTTATTCTAGCCCTGCATTCTCTGATCAAATTGGAAAGGCAGTAACCCTGTATATAAATTATTTTTTAAAAATTATATTGTTTCTAAGGTTTAGAGATTTATTCTTGTCAGGTCTCGGGATGAAGGGGAAAAGTTTAACAGGGGAAACTGGTGTTAGGTTCCTTTTGTAGCTGTCAGTTGCTGTTGGCAGTGATGAGCTTTGGTGGAGTAAGCCGCTTATGATTTTTCCGTCTCCTCGAGAACTAGGGGGTACACTTGAGTAGCGGTTTTCTGAACAGCGTCTATTCCTGGGGCCATTTGTGATGAGCCATTGTTGAGGCAGTGAGAGCAGACCCTGGTTCCACGGGCAGAATGGCTTGATAGGTAGAGTGGGAATATTTAAGAGTCTTGTGATTGTGACTTAATCTAATACTTTATTGTAGCCGATTCAACTGCTTTACCTGATAGCCAGAAACCAGGTGCATAACTTTGATAGTTTGGAAACCTCTGGTGGGTTATCTGGTTTTTGTCTGTGTCTCTTATTTGACTTGTTTTTTTAGAATGGAGTTTTTAGTTGCTTACATTTCAGATATTCTTTGGGTTTGGGGGGGGGAGCTAATAAGATATTTTACAGAGGTTATTAAATTTGATAGGTATTGTGTTAATTATTAATATGTGATAGCATGTTACAAAAACCCTGTTCTGTCAGCTTATAAAAGTGGCACTATGTAATTTTTTTTTTATTGTGAAAAGCAAGAATGGAGGTAAAGTACCAGAGAATTGTGTCTTTAAGGTATATAACAGGGATTAGATTGGAAGTGGGTCATATTAGTAGTAATAGGGCCTGAATCATCTGCTAGTCTAAGTTAGCTGGTTTTAATTTGTTGGTAAAGAAAGTAAAGGGAAGAAAGAGAGGAAAGAAGTGAAATAACAAATTCTATAACCATAGGAATCCTACCTTTAAGCTCGCTGGGGCCATTAGGCACATTGTGAGCCTTTTGGTGACACAGAAAATGTCTACTATTGGGGTGGTATGC